TCATTTTCATTAGTATATCATTTACTATTATTATGCCATTTCTTGCTAATGACATTCATTTTTTATTGTATGGACATGAATTTCTCTATGTCTTGTTTAATTTTCTTTACAAGACTCAAATGATTTACACAATAACCATTTCATTAAAATTTGATGTATATTTTGCATTGGAAAAGAGTTTATAAAATGACAGACTTAAATAAAAAAAGTTGAAAGAAGCAATTAGATTTAAAATTCAAAGTAAAATAAAAGATGAAAACATGAGTACTAATAAAATAAAAATATATTAATAGGTAAATAAATGAGTTGTTAACAACACAAGTAATATCTTTTTGAAATGACTTTTTCAACGAATTAGTTCAAAATGAGTTAAAAGAAAAAACCCTAAAACAGAAACTTGATTAATTTTTAAGAGAAAACTAAAAAAGAAATATTGTAATACCTTAATAAAAGGAATGAATGAAACATCAAAACAGCGTCAATGGATTGACAATAATACAACAAATATACAAGGATGGAATGTAGAAGTAATTGGTAATTATGAAGAATCGTTATATATACCACATATTATTGATATTAAAGAAGGAATGAATGAAGAAGAAAAATTAAAAACTGAACAACAAAATATAAAAGAATTAATAAAAGGTGTTGAGTCATTGATTCAATACACAAGCCAACAGATAATAGACCAAAGTAATACTGAAACATTTAATAATGAAATAAAGAACTTAATTAATAAATTTAATTCAATAATAAGACATCAATTCAATCAAATTAATGAATGTCAAATAGAATTAGTTCAAAAAAGAATTCAAAATAATATCATGATAATGAAAACCAAAATCGAAGATGAAATAAAAAAGTACTCTGATGCAATTTCTTCAGTAGAAAAATTAGTAAAAATATCTACAGTTGAACCAACAATGAATGTTGTTGAACAATTTAATAATACTTATATTTTATGGAAGCCAATGACAGAAAAAATTGCATTTAGTTATACCGAAAGATATGGTGTCTTAGATGAGTCACAAAAAGCATTGTCTTGTGCATTAGATAATTGGGAAAAAGAAATTTCTTTGAGAGGATATCTTATTCAAGCAGTTCATACAGGTTCAGAAAAAAGAATTACTGGTATTTTTGAAGGTCATGAAGAACAAATACTTCATTTAAAATTTGATATTGGATTATTATTAAGACTAATTTTATGTTTATCTAAATCACTTTCATATGATGGAGATAAAAGAGTTTGTTGATTCTTTAATAATAATATAATAAATAAAAGAATTAATATTAAAGATAAATATTATTATTAAATGTCTTAATAAAATAATTCTAGATAAAAATGAAATTGATAGCGTTGCATTACAAGTATTTAATTCAGTAAAACTTGAAATAAAACAAAATATTGAAAAGTCTCAACTTCAAAATACTGAAACAACTTTACAACTATTAAACTCCCTTGAAGAATTAATATCTTCAATGCATATAAAAGAAATACCAAAACATATTGATGGGTTTTGGGTTGAAGTTGATCATATTCCGTTTAATGCACAAATAGATGTTGTAATTGGATTATTTAAAAAAATTGGAGTGATAATGAATGATGTGAAAATAATTAATGGAAAATGTAGAATTCAATATAAAAACCTTAATGATGCATTAAACGCATGTAAATTAGATAACAGAGCAATTAAAAATACAACATCTATTTTATCTGTACGTCTTTTACAATAAGTTAATATTTTTTGTTTTTTATAATTTTGAATTTGTTTGTTCATAGAAATTGATTAGAACTAACACATGTTCTTTATTATTTTATTTATCCCAGAAAAATTAATAAACAAAAGTTATAAAACCATTAATAAAATTCCTGAAAGTTAAAAAAATATTGTGTTCTGTGTGAAATAACTATATCATACAATTGTTTCAATAAAAAATAAATACTAAAAAATTAGCTAATATCCAATGAATAATATACTTACATATTAATATAAAATTTCTTTTATTCCTGAATAATAAAAAAATTCTATTCATTCAAAAAAAACAATTAACCAGAATAAAACAACTATTTTTTAAAATATGAAAGATTAAATGAAATATTTTTATTATTATTTTTTTAAGTGGAAATATAATAACAAAGATACCCGAATAAAATTAGCAGAAAATATAATAACATATTCACAAGGAGGTATATTACACACTTTCTTTTATTATGTTTTTTTTTATTAAACATAATAGAAAAACATTAAATCAATAATAGAAACCAACAAAATTATTTCAACAATGAAGAGTATAATCAAAATTTGAAATACTAAATTATTTACCATTACTTGAAGGTGTTGATATTTGTGAAAAGAACCTACCAAAAGCACAATCAACAATTCTATAAACAATATCTTTTTCTTTTTCTATCTCAGTTAAAGAAATATCAATTAATTCATCATTAATTGAACTTGTAATAATTTTCTTATTATTGTCTCGATGATGAAATATGAAATCAATAAGTAAAGAATCTAAAATTTTACCAGATATATCAGGAAACATTAAAGAACTTATTTGTTGAAATTGGAATAAAACAGGCATTTCACGTTTAGTATTTAAATCTTCAAACTCACTTCTAAATTTTTGATTAATTTGCTGACCAATTAAACTAATATCCTTCCAAGTTTGATAGTCAACACCAAAACCAGAAATTGACTTTATTCTTTTCATTTTAATAACATAATGTGTCGCTCTAGTACTCTTGAGTGATGTATTATAACCAATACTTTTAAGCATTTCATATAAGAAATTATTTGTTGCTGAGACAAGATTTCTTTTTCGATACTTTGTTTTACGAGAATCAGCAATACTAGTAATAGTCTTTTCTGCTTCATTAATTTCGTTATGAATTAATTCAGAAAATTTAAATCGTTGTTGGCCAATATGAATTTCATCTATTGTCATAAATAAAGCAGCTAAACTCTTTGAATTTTTTTGTTTAATTTTCCTTGGTTTAAGTAAAACAAAATTGACACCGTGTCGCATTAGTAATGCCATGCAAAGACATTCTTGTTCTCCTTCATATGATGTTGATATTCTTTTAGCCTGAGCATAATCATCTTTGAGTTTTTGGTTGAAATCCCAATTACTCATTATGAACTGAAAAAGTCTAAGTTCTTTGAGTTTTGTTTTTTTCAAATCATTTAAAATTACCTCAAATTTGTAGAAAATGGTAGTTTAAGACATTTCAAGAGAAAAATTGTTTAACAATAAATAAAGAAAGTATTGAATAAAGATACAAAGAAATAATTCCAATAAAGAAGATAAAAATACTTTTAAAAACAAATACAAAACAAAATAATAATAAAAATATTTCTAAAAAATAAAAAACCCATAAAAACAATTTTACTAAAAGGTCAAATCTGATTTAATCAAGTTTTTGGAATCCAATTTCAACTGCTTTTTCTCTAAAGCATCTTCTACATAAATCAAGTCCATATTTTCTAATAAGACCTTTACGAGCTCCACATTTTCTGCAAGTTCTTGATCCATTTCCATAATTTCTAGGATGGGCGTTATAAATTGAGTAGCTTCCCATTGCTTTTGACCTTTTATTAATTATTTTAAGTTTTCTTTAAAACTATCAACCCTTTTTTACTATTTTTTATTAATAAAATATTAATAATTTACTATAAATTATTTGATAAATAAAATGAAAGAAAAAAAAATAACAAAGAAAGAAACACAATCAATTAAATGTAATAAGAAAAACCATTAATAATAATGTGGTTCAAATTTATCACAAATAACAGAATTAAAATACCGTTGTGCTTTTAATGAAAGTGGCTGATTTGTTTCATATAATTCATTTGTAAATTGTGTAGTAAAGTTCTTTGCAATAGATTTGAACCTATCTCGATCTTGAATCTTACCATTATCATAAAATGGTTGTAAACAATTAACAACAAATTTTGATACAACACTTTTTAAGGTTATATATTCAGTTGGTGGGTGTTGTTCTCTTATTCGTTGTTCTTTCTTTCTATTTGCATATAATCCAATTAATGGATCATAAGCAGTATCTCCTTCTGCATACCCATATAATTTTTCGAATTTATAAGACACTCCTGAACTTTGATGTTCTTGACTTCTTTTTAATTCAATATTTGAATTTTCAGGAATAATGACGGATTGTTGTTGTATTTGAACTGGTTGATTTAAAACCATTCCATTATTTGTTATTTGTTGCAGTGTTTGATTTATTGGTTGAATATAAGATGTAGTTCCATCAAATGGTTGATGATTTGTCATATAATTATTTTGTGTATTTTGGATATAATTCTGTTGTGAAACACTAGTTGATTGTTGTGAATTTGTAAGATTCATCACAGTAGAACTTAAAGTATTTTGAGAAGGAATAGAAAGACTAGACTGATATGATTGTGGAAGAGAATGAGTATTTGTTTCAGTAACTTCTTGTTTAATAGTTGGTTGTTCATTTACTGATTGAACAATAGACTCAGAAATAACTGGTGGAGGAGGTAATGGTTTATTATTATTTGGTTCTTCTTTTAATTTTTTTGACAATTTTTTAATATCAACGATATCTTCACTTTCATCTATTTCTTTTTTTTCATTAATTTTTTTTTGATGAGTAATTTTGCTTTTATCTTTTGTTTGACGTGGTTTTCTTGGTGAGGGTTTTGATGTCTCTTCTTCTTCTTCTGACTCAACTGAAACCAAATTTTTCCGTGTTGTTTTCTTCTTTGGCTTTCTTTCTTTATTCTCTTTTTTAATTTCTACTTCAAGTTCTTGTCGTTGATTTTCATGATTTGCTTGACGACGAGTAGTTCTTTTTGTTACTGGTTCTTCTATATGTTCTGGTTTTTCTTCTTCAGTGATACTATCACTTATATTTTCTACAACTTCAGTCTCTGTATCGCTGCTCATATGTCTCTTTTTCTAGTTCTTCTTTTTTTCTCTTTTTTCACCCTTTTTTCTCATTTCTAGCTTTTTTAAAAAAGAAAATAAAATATATCGTAATATATAACACAAATTCAATATCATATTTCTATTGGCGTTGCTAATGGCTTTTGATGATCATAGAACTTACTCTTATTTGTTACTGCAAAATCATTTCTAAAATCATTTGCAAAATTTGTTAATATTGTATATTCATTAGTTTTTATCCAAATAGTAATTCTAGCTTGACTTCTCATAGAAAATGAAACACCATTAACAAGTTGGTTTTGACTAAAAATTTCTCCAATACAATAACACAACTAAGTTATTAAAATATTTCTACTTTATTGTTATCTTATCAATTGTAAATTAAAAATTACTTAGAAATACCAAACTAATTTACACCAAATTTGTTCAACTTGTTCTGTCTGTTCTTGTGTTTTAAGATCAAATGAAAAAACAAGTCTTCCACCATTTTTATTTTCATCATCATTTTGACATGGTCTGATTTTATCTCGGAAAAAATGAGAGTCACTTCCTTTTAATACTGAAGTGATATTCGGAAAATCCTCATAAAATCCCCAGAAATTTTCTATTGTA